TTACGTGGGAACGAGGTTTGGAGGCTAAATGAAATGTTAGATTTATTTTGGGGGCTTTGAGGGAGAGTATCTAGACTGATTTGAAGTAAAAAATTCAACGCTAAAGTTGGGGCCATCAGTGACCAATTATTTGATGGATGTTTACTTCAAATTGAAGACTTTCTGTATGACAACTGACAGATCCTAACAATATATAAACAGAAAGTAAGAGTTCCATCATATAACATTGTAGGCTGTCTAAAATCACTACAGATAGCTGATTCCCATCAAACACCAATGATGGAAGTTACAATTTGACGGCTTTCGGAAGACTATAATTTGAAGACTTTCACGTGGATCGATGAAGGTTACAATCTGACGACCTTCGCAACAACTGATGAAAGCTCTAATCAACAGCCTTCACAATTAACATCGGGAGTTACAATCTGACAACTCTCACATTTTTAAGGAGCCAAGACAAAGATTACAAGATGCGATCTTTGTAACGCTCTAGCAAAAGAGACTACAAATCGACGGTCTCTTCAAACCAAAACACGGATATCTCTCAAACCGTAAGGAATTTGGCAAAACTGACAAAGCAAATCGAACCCTATAAGGTTAGTTTGGTCGGCTCCGTCTCGTCGAGATAGCCAATTTTTATATATAATTCGTCCAATTCCGACTTACGGTTTGAAAGTTATGACATGTTCTTCGCAGCAAGTTATGTTCTAAAGTCCATTTGCAAGACTGGACTTCGTCTGAACATTGGACTTAGCCTGAAGTTCGCTAAGCCTGCCTAAGGTTCACCTCTGCATTACAGAATCAAAACGCAGAGTTCATGGACTTAAAACACAGAGTTCAACTCTGCGTCCAACGATAAAAATGCAGAGTTCGTGGACTTAAAACACAAAGTTCAACTCTGCGTCCAATGATAAAAACACATAGTTCATACGCAGCCCAACTCTGCGTCCCAGGTCCAAAAATGCACAGTTCATGCGGAGCCCAACTCTGTGTCCCAGGTCCAAAAACGCACAGTTCATGCAGAACCCAACTCTGTGTCCCAGGTCCAAAACACAGAGTTCATCTCTGTACAGTGCGACCTGTACGTTTTCAGTCTAAAATAGGCTCAACTCTGTGTTTCAGGTCTAAAAGGCAGAGTTCGGGCCCAGAACGCTTTTTTTAGCGTTTGACTCGTTCAAGCACGATTTGAACAGTTCCAGAACCGTTTTCTCCCCACGATTTGAGGGGATCACTACCCTATCATGGAGAGATTTATGGGGGCAGTTACACCCTATTAAACCCTCATTAAGGAGAGATTTAAGGGGGAAGTTACACCCTTAAATCCCCTATAAATAGTGAAAAACTCAATTGAGTTGGGGTTGGACTTTTTGATGAGAAAGTCATAAAAAGGAGATCGGCCTTCATCCATCTTCAACTTCAGCAACAAGGAGCTTTGGAGATCAGCGACTTGAAGAAACTCTTGAATCATCTTGGAAGGCTTTTATTGAAGTCTTTGAGATTACTCAGCTTGGCTTGTGAACTCTTTTCACGAGTTCTTCTCAACTCGATCAGAGTTTAAAACTTGCTCTACAAGTTCTTCTAAAACTTGCTCTGAGTTATTAACTCGTTAAGAGTTATTTTCAAACTTACCACGCAAGTTCTCCACAGCGTCAAATCGTGAGGAGAAGACCACGTTCCAGTAAAACAAAACGTTCGGATCGTCAATGAAGAGCAAACTCGACGCGAGCATTCGAGGGAGGCACTCCATCGTCACCGTGAAGAACCCAAACCTAAACAAAGGGTAGAATCCAGATCATTCTCTTCTATTTTGTAATCAGGAAATCTAATTGTAATTGAGATCAATGGAATACAAATTACTTTTCCCTTATTTCTTTTTACTACAAATTTTCTACAAACAAAAGATGGCGACTCTGCTGGGGACTAGCTTATCTGATGAAGAAGTGGTGGCACAATCTGACGTCAAGCTCGCTGGAACAACGGTCGAGACTCTCGTCGTGGAGTTTGATCAAGACAAGTACGAGGAGGCCCTCTCCTCCGGATCCCTTAGCCACAAGGCTAAGCGCAAGGTCCGCAAGATCTCCAAGAAGACTAAAGCTCTAATCTCTACCGAATCACCGAATGAAGTCCTCTCCTTTGGATTAGATTACTTGAATAGCCCCTCCCCGAAGGAGTGGGCTCTGCTTCTCCCAAACTCATCCACCGAGTTAAAGGTTCTGCACCCGCGCTAAAGCGACGGGTAGCGGGTCACAAAAGCGACAAGATGAAGATGCTCATCCAAGGCTATGTTTCATTAGTAAAATGTAGATCACAGGACTGTGTTTCACTAGCAAAACACAGACTTCAGTCTTGCGTTAATCAAGCTAAACACGACCCTCGTGTTCCTTTTTTGGAATGCGATGTGATTCGTCGTATTCAAAAAGATCAACATGGATTTAAAATTCATGTTTACCAAGAACCAGTCCCATCCATTGACGGACAAGGGGTTCCATCTCTACCCTCACGCTCTGTGAGAGGTTCATCCTATGTCTCTGACTTGTGGGAATTGCTGTCAATGTTCAACCGACCAACGAACGTCGCTTTGCTCACTAATCGATGACATTCTCACAAGAAGAAGACTTTAGAGGATGAATACCTTAAAGTCACTTCTAACATGATTGGTAGAGGGAGATCATCAGTCCCTAGCTCCGACAAGTCAGAGAAAGATCAGTCTCCTGGCTTGAAAGACCCCCTAAATGGGTCCGATTATCAACATACTCGGACTTAAACAGGAACCATTCCTCCTGTCAACTATCGGAAGTTAGCTAGAGGAACTAATTCTGATGATGAACACTCAGCCATTGCAGAGTCCCAATCATCAAGCTCTTTTGTTGAATATGAGAGCTCCTCTTATATGATGAGAAACCATGAATATCTCACAAAGAGACTTGATGAGTAGGAGGCCATGATCAAATCTCAGCAGGAGGCAATCAATGAACTCTTGGCCCTGATGAATCAAATCATTGCAGACAAGGCCAAATCTCAGAGGACAGATTCGCCACCTAGGCAAGAATCCTCCCGGCGAGGAAAAACGTCTTCATCCTGACCTTACACAAGTAAAGGGAAGGAAAAGTTGGTTGATGACACGGCTTCTGACCAAAAAGCCCACAACCTAGAATCTTCCTCTAATGAAGGAAGAGAGACTGAGAACGAGCATAATCTCCAGTCTGCCAAAATGGAAGAATTGGAAGCCCACCTCAATGCCATTGCCAACAGAAGCGAGCTCCAAGACGAGGGAGTTGTCAGACCCTATCCTACCGAATGGGATGCAGCCCCTTATCCTCCAAAGTTTGAAGCCTCGATGCTACAAACTTTTAATGGCACGGGATCACTGAATCAACATATCTATTATTTCAAGTCACAGACAGGGAATGCGATATCAAATGATGCCATATTGGCTCGATTGTTCATTGGCACCCTCAAGGGAGTTGCCTTTGAATGGTTCAGGAAACAGTCTGCAGGATGTATTCAAAAGTGGGCAGATCTAGAAAGACTCTTCTTATCAAGATTCTTTGAAGAGAATACAGAAGTCTCCATCCATACCCTTCTCTCCACTAAGAAGAAGAAGAGGGAGTCCGTCAAAGCCTTCGTCAAGAGGTTCCGAAGCATGGCTCTCCGATGTTCGTCAAGTATGACACAATCTACCTTAGTGGAGACCCGTCGACACAACTTACAGACCGACCTTCTAGCACAAATAAGGGTTACAGAATGCCGTTCCTGGAGACAACTAATCTCTCAAGGCGAACAGGCTCAAAAGATTATTGCCAGGATCAAAGCTGAAGAACAAAGTAGGCAGGATCAACCTGAGCAATCGGACCAAGCTCAATCTTCTAAGTCAGAAGGGGAAGACACTACTATCACTAAAGCCAATCCCCTTTAGTAGGATGGTAGGTCCAACAACTATCACGTTAATAATTACCTCTAATAGTAAAACTTATTAGATAGTGACCCACTAGGCGATGTATCATGTCTACCATTTTTCCCCCTTGCACTTGTTCAAGACTGGAGGTTGGTTTATTTGTAGTTCATTGGATTATGAGTAATAAATTTTCTGAGTTGTCATGTTCAATAGAATACCTCTGTCAACCATAAAATTCATCAAAAACTATCACGTTAACATTTACCTCTGATAGTCCATCAATCTGCCAATCCTCTTTAATAGGATGACAAGTCCATAAAACTATAACGTTAACAGTTACCTCTGATAGTTCATCAACTTGCCAATCTTCTTTAATAGAATGGCAGATCTACAAAACTATCACGTTAACAGCTACCTCTGATAGTCAAACTCATCAGATAATGGCCTACCAGATGATGTGTCTTTATTCCGACTTCATGGATAGTGCCCCCTAGGCGATGTGCCTTGTCTACCTTTTTTTATTCCCCTGCTAAGTCTTAATTAAGACTGGGGGTTGGTTACTTGGAATCTACTGGATTAAGAGTAACGAATCTTTCACATCGTCAAGTTAACATTATACTTCTGACGATCATCACCCCTACGGAGTATGAATTCAGTTTGCATCACTCCCAATTTATCATGTTAACAATACACCTTTGACAATCAACTTATCAATCCTCTTCAATAGGATGATAGGTCCTCAAAATTGCTCAAACGACAATCTTCCCCAGCAAGACTCTAATTACTAAAATCTTGTGCAAGTCACAAGTACAAATTCCTGTCACGTTAATATCACACCTCTGACAACCAATCAACTTATTAATCATCTTCAATAGGATGATAAGTCCACAAAGTTGCTCCAATCGCAACACAAATCCTGTCACGTTAACACTAAACCTCTGACAAATTCACTTATTAATCCTCTTCAATAGGATGATAAGTTCACAAAGTTGCTCCAATCGCAACACAAATCCTGTCACGTTAACACTAAACCTCTGACAAATTTACTTATTAATCCTCTTCAATAGGATGATAAGTCCACAAAGTTACTCCAATCGCAACACAAATTGTCACGCCTCGGGTCCAAAACGTGATAATTTGGAGCGTGACTCGGTCGGCAATGCAACCATACGGTTACATTCACGCCTCTGGATCATCCTGTATACAGATATATTGCTAAAAGAACTATTATATAGAGCATGCAACTAAAATAACAAAGGAACTAAATAGATAAAGAAACTCTAAAAAGACAAGTTCTCTTACATGTCCACAACTATTCAAATAGGAAAGAGGAAAAATACATCTTAGTCTAGAGTACCACAAGTGATTACAAGAAAGACTCCATAACTGAAGCTGAGAGAGTGAAGAGAGAGAAGGTGATCACTGTCGCTGGTCTTAATCCTTAAAGTAATCTTGGTCCTGCGAAGAAAGAACAATTCCCAAGTCTGGGGCATGCAAACCCCAGGGGAGTCAGAAAACTCCCAGCAAGTATGTAAAATGAGGAAATTGTATGCGTGCAAGTATAAGTGGTAGATATAAAGAAAAGATAAATTCTAAAATTTTCAGTGATAAAAGAAAATGCCTATCTTATAAACCAAAATACGATGAAAACTCAATTAAAGATGATAAAAGAAGTTCTAAACATGGATATCAAACAAGGTCTACCATAAGCACATACCTTATACCATATGCTAAAAGGAGATAAGATTTAGAGACCCACAACATGAGAGATGAGTACGTCGAGGGAATAATCCAAACAAGGAAACCCTCGTATATACCATATATCTCAAATTTGTAAATCTCTAAATATTTACTCCCAAAATTCTATACACAACAATATAAATATACATCACCCATACTTCATCCAGGTCATACCATGCATGCCAAATCTATCACAACGCATAAAAACACATTATTCTTATTTTACATGTTATTTGAATTAGAGAAGAATATTTTCATGTATATAAATCGGTTCCCCGTAAACCGTCCCGGGAACACAGCTTCAAGTCATGAATTGGCTCTTTGGCCCATGTATATATATAACTCAGGATACCAGGAATGCGCATATGCCCGTTTATATACATGTTATATTCTTCGTCTAATTCCCCCTTTATAAACCCCATGTTTGTCGATTAAATTTTAAATGACTGTGCATGAAATGTTGTGTACTAACCATAGAGTTACCATGGAACGACTTCTGTAAAACTATGAAAATAACCATGACCCAGAACATGTCTAATCAAGATGGGTGCATCATCTAGTCGATGCTATAGTAGTAATAGCCAAGGGAAAATCTCATATCGGGATGTCGATATCGAGAGCATAGCCATGCTATGAAAGCACGCTTATAAATCATATTTTTAATAGGAGTCGTCTTCATGCACAGTCTCTTCTATTGGATGACAACTAGGTGATCAAGCAACAATTTTCCATAGGATTATACACAAACTTGGAGCACTACGCATCATACACATTCATATTTAGTTGAACTATCTTTTTCTTAGTGATATGAGCATTTGACATGCAAAAGAATGAATACATATGTTATCGATGCAAAAGAAAATATGTAATCTAGAATATAATGTATATCTGATGTAATAAATTCCATATGACATGATGATATACGATGCAGTTAGCATGGAATCTAACTAATTTATAATGTATTGTTGTGAAATAAACCTGTAATGATATTGTTAACTGCTGTTTATCTATATTTATGCTATAATATGTGACCTGTGACAAATTATGGTTATGATAAATGATAATCACATTTTTATTATAATTTTATACCCTCATTATCTATTCTATATGAATAATTATACCACTAATAACTGTTTTTATCTTTAATTACAGGTTAATGAAGAATAAATCTCAACTTCCCATCTCTCAACAAAAACCCATTGATTAAATGAAAAAAATGATTCAAGAAGCCAAAGTGAAATTTTCGAATTTAGCAAAAAGATTACACAAGGGAAGCAAGACCGGATGCAAACAAGAGTGGATTTTTATGCAAAGTTGGAATGAAATGGACTTGGATGCAAAGAGTGAAATGAGTTGGGCTTTCATGCAAAAAATTACGAATTGCTACAGTGACCGAACTCATCAAATGACCGAACTTTGGAGTTGATTGCTAGACAAGCTGCTGCAGTCTTCATTTGGGCCGAAAAAAATCAAATGGGAAGGTGAAATCAAATGAAGACCAAATGCATTGGATGGGCCGGTCATTGATCATTTCATGGGCTTAAATTCGAAATTCAAGACTTATGGCTTGGACAAGAAAATGGTTGTGCAGTTGAGATTTTGGTTTCTCAAATGACCGGACTTGATTTAAATCAAACAAATAAATGGGCCAGACGGTGATAGGCTTGACAAGGAGATTTAAATGTTCAATTTCTTTTGAAAAATCAAGTGAAGCATTGCTGCAGTTTAGATTTTCATTTGCTATGGGCCGGATTTGCTTAGCTGCTGCAGTGGACCGAACATGGGCTGAAGACAATTGATTTTGAAAATCAAATGGAGACTTGATTGCTTGCTGTTTTCGGTTTTTGAAAATGAAATGGAAATCATGAATGGGCCAAAGACTTAGATGGACTTGATTTAATTTTGAAATTCAAAATCAGTTGGACCGGAACTGCTGCTACAAATTGGAACTTGATTTTTATTTTTGAAAATCAAATAATTCAAAGGTGGAGATTGTTACTTGGGGCTCAAGACAAATCCAATGGCTCATATTCATTGAAGATTACTATAAATAGGGGTAGAGAGTGAGGGGTTAGAGGTGTGAAAATTTTGTAAACTCCTTTTGGAGAGGAGGGCTACTCTTAATTGAGAAGGCCTTCCAAAAATTATAACTTTAGTTGCAATTAATAAAGATTTTTATTTTTGAAAATCAAATAATTCAAAGGTGGAGATTGTTACTTGGGGCTCAAGACAAATCCAATGGCTCCTATTCATTGAAGATTACTATAAATAGGGGTAGAGGGTGAGGGGTTAGGGTGTGTGAAAATTTTGTAAACTCATTTTGGAGAGGAGGGCTACTCTTAATTGAGAAGGCCTTCCAAAAATTGTAACTTTAGTTGCAATTAATAATAATAATTTTTTCCTCTTTAAATTTGTTCTTTCTCCTCTTTGTGGAATGATGAGGATGGAGATGAAGAGCAATTTGAAGGTTTGCATTTCTTTTCTCTTTTATTTCTTTTTAGTAATTTCTTTATTATTGCTTATTAGTTAGATTTAAATTCATGCTTGTAGTATAGATTTACTTTCTCGTCTTTTTTATTTTCTTTTTACACTTTAATTTGTAGAGTAGATTTATTTTTTTTCTTGCATTTAATTTCTGCAATTTATTTTGTAGCTTAGATTTTTATTTTCTTTGTAATTAGATTTATTTCTTGTTCATAGTTTAGATTTTTCTTTTCTTTTTATTTTTGTAATTAGTTCTTTTTCTTGTTTTTATTTCTTAAAGATGTGAATTTAATTCTTGTAGGAAGTTTAGAATTATATGAAACTAATCTAATTTCCTTTATATTGTATGAATTTTTCTCTTGTACTTAAAATGTTCATGTTTAGGATAATCAACTAGAGAACTAATCGGTAGAAGAAGAATTTGATAATCTATGCTTATCTTAAATGGTTTGATAGGTTATGCTTATGAATTCTAGGATTATTATCATGTTGTTGTTCTTATCATGAATAGTAATTTTGACTTAGATGATAATTTGATAGGTTACACTTTCCTTAAATGGTTTGATAATCTATGCTTAATAAATCTAAGTTGAAATATGATAAAAAGAGAATAGTTTATATTTTGTAATTGAAATTGGTTAGTGGATTATATTCTAGATTTCTTACCTCTTTTGAATCCTTCATCTTAACTTTCTTAAATTTTCTTTTCATTTTTGGTTTTATTTCTTGATTTTATTAATTCATATTTCTTGCCTTATGATTTCATTTATTCTTTAATTCTTCCTTCTCTCCTCTAAAATTCAATTTATTACCTCTTGCATATAAATCAAAACAACCACTCATACAATCACACTTATTCTTTATTCCTAATTGTCACGCACAAAATATAAGAACCAAGTTTAATAATCTCTTAAAATCACCTTCTTCGTGGGATCGATATCTTTTTATACTATAACTTGATAAATTGTGCACTTGCAATTTTGGTACATAATTATGCCGCATCAAGTTTTTGGCGCCGTTGCCGGGGAAGGTGCTAAAATAGGATTTTATTAACTTGATTCTTTAACTTGTGTATTTTTCTTGTGAAGGAACCGCTTGGAGCTTGAAAATCTTGGATTGAAGATCAAGAATTTGGAGCATTGCTTTCGGGTAAGTCTTCTTTCTAGTTTTCAATTCCACCCTCTTTAGCTAGCTTCACAATTAGAGACAATTAGGATTTAAAAAAAAAGATTTTATTTTTGTTGACCATAATAAAATCCATCTTTCACTTAGATATTAACTAACAAGATAATAAACTCAAACAATTTTCCCCTTCTCACTTTTGATTATTGTTGACCATAATTAAAAAATATAAAGATTTTCTTTTTACCATCCTTTTTAGTCGCTTTTAATTTCTAGGGTTGCATTTCATATAGTGTAGGAATTCACCAAAGTGATTGTAGCACTTGATTTGGCACACACTTAAAACATTCTTAAGGGCAAAACCCCAATCAAGATAAGGTAAGGGATTTCATCACCCTTTCCTTAGCCCACAAATCACTAATTCCTCACTTCACAAACCCAAGCCTTCTAAAACTCATTAGACGTTGGCCCCTAAGGATTCGAGCTCAATAAGGAACAAGAAATCCTTAAGTGAACGGTTTAAGTTTTCTCAGAATAGTTGGTGTCTAAGGCAAGGTTTAGGGGTTGCGTAAAGCGCTCCGCAAGGAAAGAGGTACTTAATTGATCTTTGATCACCCTCTAGTACTATCCTTACCTGGCTAACTACCTGGGTAAAACTTTGATCTTTTCACTGTAGGAATTTTTGGTTAGGAGCTGGTCTAGTGGAGTTAGGCTAAACCCTAGAGTTAGAGTTGATTGAAAAGTGATTGCCTTGATTTGTTTTAGTTAGGATTTTTCTTTTTCTTTATCTTCTCATATTAAAAAAAAACTAATTTTCTTTCTTCTTTCCTTTATAAAAAAAAAACTAAATTTCTTTCTTTCCTTAAAAAAAAAACTAATTTTCCTTAAAAAAAAACTAATTTTCTTTCTTTCCTTTAAAAAAAAAATTATTTTGGTGTATACAAATTTGGGTTCGGGATAATTTTCATCGCTTAATCCGTGTTGAACCAATCCAAAAAATGGCAAATCAGCCCGTTCTTCAGGATATGTGTTACCCCACCAGAAATGCAATTCCATCTTGCATAAGACTCCCCGAAGTAAATGGAGCAAATTTCGAGCTTAGACCGCATTTCATTAACATGCTTCCCAAATTCCTAGGTAATGAAACAGAAGATGCATATATATTTATCTCGGAATTTGAGGAAGTATGTATTATGATAAAAATGAGAGAATTAACCGAAGATGCGATTAAGCTTAGATTTATTCCATTTGCTCTAAAGGACAAAGCTAAAAAATGGCTGTACAGCTTACCGATAAATTCCATCTCAACTTGGGAGGAATTTGTCACCGTTTTTCTCAAGAAATTTTTCCCTATTCACAAAACGGTAAAGCTTAGGAACAGCATTCAGAATTTCAAAATTGTCCCGGGAGAGCCATTCTGGAAATACTTTGACCGATTTAAAGATCTTTTAATCCAATGTCCTCATCACGGTCTAGAAAAATGGCGATTGTGCCAAGTCATATATGAAGGATTGGACTATTCTTCAAAAACATCTTTAGAATCGATGTGTCAGGGAGATTTTATGAGAAAAAACGCCGATGAAGCTTGGGAATTCCTAGAGAGTCTATCCGAGAAAACAATGCAGTGGGAAAACTGTGATGACAGGGTTTCATCTGTTTCCCAATCTAAGTCTAGTGGTCTTTCCCTGGAGTCAAACATTGCATCTGAAGCGAAGATGGCGACGATTCTGCGGAGGTTAGAAGCCTTAGAAGTTAAGGAACGAGCTCCGGCTCAAATCAATCATATTTCTGCCCCGGGATGTCATAACTGTCAGTCTCCTACCCACGTTTCAGAGGAATGTCCTCTTCTAGGAAACAACCATGCTTTAGAACAGATGAACGCTGCATTCCAGCGCCCTAGAAATGATCCATTTTCTCCAACCTACAATCCAGGTTGGAGAAATCATCCCAATTTTGCTTGGAACCAAGGAAATTCTCATGGAAACCAAAACTTTATTCCCGCGTCAAACCAACAATTCCCTAGGGGAAACACTGTCCCATTCAACGCACCGAACAATTTTTCTAACCCACCTTTTCCAAACCAACATCCTCATCCTCACCAGCCTACAAATCAATCAAATTCCGATCATGACAAACGTTTGAGTGTCTTAGAAAAGGGTTTAGAAGCTATGATCAAAGCTTCTACACAAACTACCAACATGTTGACCCAATCATCCACCACTCTAAATTCATTCATGCAAACCACCGGCCAAGTGCTCAACTCGAACACACAAGCCATAGCCCGGTTAGAAACCCAACTTGGGCAACTAGCCG